TTTGTGCGTGTGCAGGTATTGCAAGTATACAGCTTGTATCCCCCCTCCCTCCCATATAACCATAGGCATTGGTAACATAAAACCATTTTTCACCTACCACACATGGTCAAGAATTAAGAAATTCAGTATTGGGCCTGGTAAGATGGCTCAACAGTAAGTGGGCCTACTACGAAACCTGATGACCTGAGTTCAATCCCTATAACCCACATGGTAGGAGAGAACCAACTCCTGCAAATTGTCCTCTGACCCCTCCACACGTGAACACACACACACACACACACACACACACGAAAACGTAATAACCAAATTTAAAGAAGAAACTTAGTATTGAAAAGATAGAAGCAGGTATTTTCATGCACTGCTGACAGAACTCATAATTAGATGAGCCCTCTTTGATGCATTCTTTGACAGTAAGTTTCACCAGCTGGTGTGTATCCTTATTGATCATTTAATGGAAGAGCTAAACAGGCATTTAATTACAGGACCTAAAAAGGTTGCCTATAGAAGTATGCACAGAGTATTAAAGAAAGGAAGGAAAGCATAAAGAATTCTGCTGGTTGACATGAAGAAAAGTCTTAAAACATGTAGGGTCAATAATTTTTTTTTAGATTTTATTATTTTTAGTTTATGTGTATATGTGTATTGTCTGGATGTAGGTAAGTGCACCCGGGTCATGCAATGCCAGTGAAGGGCAGAAGAGACTGTCAGATCCCCTGGAACTGGAGTTACGGACAATTATTAGCTGCCATGTGGGTGCTAGGATTCGAACCCAGATCTTCTGCAAGAGCAACCAGTGTTCTTAACCACTGAGCCATCTCTCCAGCCCGGGTCAATAATTTTCAAGCAAAACAAAGAGGACTACAACAACAGTAGACAAAAATGCCATGTGCAAAAGTACTAAGTGGCAGAATTCTATATTCATAATGCTATGACATGCTGAGGTTGGGAGAGGGCAGAGAATGGTAGATGATGGTGATATGATCCTGGAGAGGAAGTTTTAGCCAAACTAAAAAGGACTAGGTACACTTTGCTAAAGAACTTTGATTTTATTGTATACATACAAGACTTTCAGTGACTTACCAAGATCTTGAACTGAGTACTGATAGTAAAAAAAAAAAAAAAAAATGGAGAGAAGAAATCAGAAGGGGTTTTTTTTTTTTTTTTTTTTTCGCAGTTGAAATAAAATTAGGTCACTGAGTGGAAGAGGATGAAGGAAAGGTTTTAATGGAAGCCTTGTTGTACATTGTACTAATAACCTAGTAACTGAACTTTAAAATATTAAGATTGTGATGCTGGGGGAATGGGGAAGTGGCTCAGGGAGGGGGTAAGAGCACTTATTGTACAACCATGAGTACCTGAGTTCAGATCCTCAGCACCCATGTGAAAGCTGGACATGTTAGTACATGCCTGTACCCCAACATTAGGAGACCAAGATAGGTGGGTTATGAGAGTTGGACAAGCCAATGGTCAGTTTCAGGTCAAGTGAGAGACCCTGTCTCAGATACACATTGAGCAATAGAGGAAGATACCTGACATCCCCCTCTGTCTTCCATGGATTCATACACAGGAGTGTATACACACGCACACACACACGAGAGGGGGGGTGGAAGGGAGGGAGGGAGATTATGGCATTGGTGCATACTTCTAAGATTTTGGAAGGATATAAATTGCAGATTTTTTTGTAAAATATCTGGAACTAGAGCTTAGATACCCATGAAAACCTATTGATCACAGTCTCCCAAATATCCAACACATTTTGAAAGAGTAATTTGAATTGGCTTGTTTACTTTTAAATTTACAGTCATCAGCCCCCTTCTATCTTCTCCCTTTTTCTTCAGTGACTTATAATGCTATTGTAGAAAACTATGATCTAGGCACTCAGTAAAGGGAATGTTGACAAATGTTAAGCTCGAAACCTTCTCAAAATGAGTGCCAGGATGTTTTCCAAAGTTAACCAACTACATCAGAAATCCCTCAAATTAGTTGGGCATGGTAACACATACCTGTAATCCCAGCACTTGGGAAGCAGGGGCAGGAGGATTAGGATTTCAAGGCCTGCTTGGTATACATAGTAAGCTTGAAGCCAACATGGGCTACATAAGACCCTGTCTGAAAAACAAAAATAAAACAATAAAAGTTACTCAGGTTATTTAAAATTCAAATACTTGGACTTCCCCTCTTCAATCATGTCAAGATCTTGCAATGAGGCCTGAAAGTGTGTATTAAGCAAATCATATACATATAATATAGTGATCACAGGTGCAGCATTGAGGACCAGATGAGTTCCTTGGCAAAAGAAGTTCATGAGCATCACAGGTATGAATGATAGACTACTCCTTTAAACAAATAATAAAGTTGATTACAATGTTAAAGTATAGGTAATTGGTTTAGAAATAGCAGATCAGGTCGAGTGAGATGGCTTAATGGCCATAAATGTAATTTTTTTTAAGTAAAAAAATTTTTTTTTTTTTAATGGGGCTAAAGAGATGGCTCAGCAGTTAAGAAAAGCTGCTCTTGCCAAAAACCTGGGTTTGGTTCCCAGCACCCACATGAACACTAAAAACCACCCATAACTCTAGTTCCTAGGGATCTGGTACCCTCTTCTGACCTCTGGGCATTGTACAACATAGGTGCACTTACATACATGCAGGTAATACACTTATACACATAAAATAAAATAAAAATAATAGATAAAAGCAAAAGATTTATACAATCTGAAGAGAAACCAGAGCATTAAGTCCAATTTATTTAGTCGAGTTAGGTTGGTAGTAGCATTTACATACCTGTGACTTAACCTCTTGTGCCTAGTTTTCATGTTGGAACATAGCTGTGTTGACTGAGCAGACAGGGATTCTGCTGGATTGAGAAAGCTATGTTCCTGTTTTTACTCCCTTTCAGGGGAGTTTATAGTTTATGGTGCTATTTTGTTTTTCTAACTGATCTGATAATATAGTTCCTACTACACTTGAACTGAGAATCAGAACACTTAGACTTATCGGGACAGAGAGGATGAATGGGAAGAAGTAAATTGTGCTTTCTAAGATCAAATAGTCTTCAGTTCTCTGGAATTCTGTAATGTGTGCCTGGGTAACATGATTATGTATATGTACATATTAGTGGAGAAGCTTCCCTAGGGGTTTCCATCCCAACTTTTATCATGCTACTGGTGAAGGCAAGGCTAAAACACTCACAGTATATTCAAAGTATGGTTTCCAGACATAGGGTGAAACTCTGCAGCCTGTAATGAGCATTAGCATATAAACTTGAAAACCTCCTATTACAGATTGCTTGATTTGGCATTTAAAGACTGGGATTGGTCATTTGATGATGTTGATGGTGATGATGACGATGTTTTTGATTTCTGAAGAAATAAATGGGTAAATCAAAAAATGAAAAATGAGTATTTAGTACTTCTATGTAGTGCATGTGGTTTGTACTTTTTTTTTTTTTTACTAGTTTTGGAAATTTTGTAATGTTTTTAATAAGATACACTTTTTTAAAGTAGTTTTTCAGAATTGTTTCTAACTCGAATTCTCATGTGAAGTATAAAAGTGAAATGCTATGTTCAGATTCTTTACTGGCTATACATTTTCGGTATAATTGTAATTAAAATATTTTCTTAGGAATTAGAACTATAAGGAACAAATTCTGATGCCTTCGATTCATTCCAAAGAAACTGTTGTTCCAGAGAATTAAAAATTGCGATATTTTCAGTGCTTAGAGCTGTATTTGTTTGTGAACATAGCATGAAATTACTTTCTCCCTCCATCCCTTTCTCCTTCCCTCTGCTTTCCTTCTTTATAGTTTTCAAGAATTAAAACCATAAAAACTTTGTAAGTGTGATAAGTGCTGTGAAATAACTATTTCTGATTTGTCTTTGTGATGCAGTGAAATGTTTGCAAGAATTTGATGTTGCCTTTACTAAAAAGAATGCTAGTGGCATGGTGGCACACGCCTTTAATCCCAGCGCAGTGGCAGGCAAATCTCTGTGAGTTCAAGGCCAACTGGGGCTACAGGGAGATGCTGTCTCAAAAAGACCAAAAAAAGTAAAATAAAGCCAGGCATGGTGGCGCATACTTGTAATCCCAGCACTTAGGAGATGAAGCAGAAGGAGTTGGAGGTCATCTTCCAGCTACACAGTAATTTAGAGGCCAGTCTGGGCTACATGAGACTGTATCTCAAAAAATTTAGAGAAAGAAAGACAGCGGCAGCTAGGCAAGACTGTAATCTCCACTCAATAGGCTGAGGCAGGGGGCTTGTGAGTTCCACACCAGCCCCAAGAGTGTAATGAGACCATCTCAGAGAACAAAAAAGAAAGAAATATAAAATGGTTTTGTCAATAAGGGAATTGAATGAAGCCTTGTGACTTTAAATCTTATCGAGTAGATATATAAGAAATAAGATCCATCTTAAACTGAGCATGTTGTAAAGCATATACCTTCGTCATGTGGCATTGTGACCTCTGTATCTGGACTTTGTGAAATGTATTTACTTCAAAGTGTTTATTACTATTTTTGTTGTTTTGTGGTACTGAAAATGGAACCCATTGTCTTGGGCATACGAGACAAATGCTTTATCACTGAACTACACCCCAGCCCTTTATTCTGTTTTATAGATAAGAAAAATGTGGCTTGAGATCAGGAAGCTCTGTAGAGCCTGACCCATAAGTCCTGCTTTTTGAGCTGCATGAGGCATCTGGTAGCTACACCTCACATAAAATTCCATGCACATTGTTTGACCCTGATATAGCTGATTAACTATTTTTAAACTTGTCCATAATGTTTGTAGGTCGTATGGGACTTAAAGTCCATTGTCATATTTAGAAAGAGTGTAATTGCATGCACCTAGAAGTAAGAAAAGTAGTATGATTGGGTGTTTATGCATGGTTTGGGGGTTAGAGGTATAGAAAAAATACAGTTTAATGACATAAATGTCTTTTCAGGGAATTTTACAGTCTCAAATTATTCCACTGTATTAACTATTTTTTTCTTTCTTTTCAGCTAACTGCCTTCTGTGAAAGCAGTCATTCAAGGTGATCATATTCTTTCAGCTAAAATAAGACTGAAATATGATGGCCCAAAATTTATTAAAAAGCTGTATTTTACTGAGACTGAAACACACACGTACATATATATGTTTCCTTTGCCCCTGTAATATATGTTACAAATCATGGAGTTTTTCTGGGCTCCTTTGAAATAAGTTGAACCAACAGTGATTGGTTAGTAAAGGATGTCATGCAACTCTTCCAGATGTTTCATAAAGCTCTCTTGGCAGTCACTCACACTACATTGCACAGAAGGATTGAGAAGAGCTTAAAAGAAATCATCTTTTGAGTGTCAATGAAGAGTTTTCACCAGCACATTTACCAGAAGAACCTAGGAGTGGATTCCACTACAGTGATATTGACTACATCTTTAAGAAATGACCATGACATTGTGTGTATGTATGTATGTATGTATGTATGTATATACATATGTCAGTTTGATCCTCAGATACACACACGCACACATACAGTACTGTAATACTGCAAGGTTTTTTTAAGCCGGGCATGGTGGTGCACGCCTTTCATCCCACCACTTGGGAGGCAGAGGCAGGTGGATCTATGTGAGTTCAAGGCCAGCCTGGTCTGGGGTATATAGCGAGTTCCAGGCCAACTGGGGCCACAGGGAGACCTGTCTCAAAACAAAACAAAACAAAAGTTTTTTTTTTAAACTTACCATTTTATTTTTTATACACATTAATCAGATATCATTACTTCAGTTGCAACTATGCATTTGTATAAAGCCATAATGTTGGAGTGTATATCCCTCATTCATTTGTACCTAATGGGAGCTGCATGCTTGTTTAGGCAGTTACTGTAACAAGAAGCTTGAAATGAATTATACCAGTTTCCTAATGCTTATGGCAGGCATCTTTACCCATTTTGAATGCCTTAATTTAATTTTCTTTCCCTCAAAATTTCAACTCTTCTGTATTTAAGAAACAAAAGAACCAAGTGTTTACCAGCTCTTAGAATGCAACTTGCTTTGTGGAAGAAAAATAGTGCACTATTTTTACACATAATAGTTATATCAACATCAGCCTATTTTATGTATAACAATTTTTAATGTGTTTGGTCAAAGAAACAATAATGGAGTATTGGAGCTAATATGTCTGATTACATTTATTATTTATCTATCCCTTCTACAGACTTCAGTTACTAGTCTGTGACTACAAAATGTTTCCTTTGCTTTGAATTTGCTGACTACCCTAGATAGTTTTTATTTCTGGTAAAGACATTTGTGACTATTTTTACATTTTCACTCAAGATTCAAACATTGTCTCAAATATAAAGAAAACTAACTTGTACTGTAGATATATTTTAAATATTTAAATGTGATCCTGAAACAAACAACTATGTATGGCAATATTTCAGTATTGAGTCAAGAAAACTAGTAACTGGGAAGAAGCAGCCTCAAAGGCACTTAATTTGATTTTCATTTTTAAAATGCTGTTAATGTTAAGAGAGCAGCCAGGACCTTTCCTGCTGTGTTTCTGGTCCCAGGTAAGTGTGTTTTGTTCCACAGCAGCATGCAGCAGTAGTATGCATCAAGACCTCTATCAGTCTCTTTCTATACACACACAAAGTTTGATGTGGTTTTGAAATATTTTCAATGAAGGAAGCAGATATTTTTCATTGCTTCCCTCTGGGATCAGTGTAGAGTTGTTATAAAGAGTTTGATCCTCATCATAGATACTATTGTAGAAATAGTAGTCTTAGGCCTACTGATACACTGAATCCCAATTCTGTGACCCTCAGATTTCTAGTTGCTTCTTTCATGCTGTGTTGAGACTGGATGTGCATGTTGTTTCCCTTGAAGCAGCTGTGCTCTGCAGCTCTACTTTGGGGGCTCCTTCCTTCACTTCTTCCTTCATTCTTCCCTTTTTTCCTTCTTTCCTGTATTGCTTCATTTCTTCAGATTTAAAATGAAAATATATATAAAATTTATATAGAAGAAATATTTCCATTCATCAGAGTTGTTTAAAAGGAGACTGAATTAATATTTTATATAAAGATTTTGTTACACTATGGGAGGTTCTATCCTATTCTGAATTGGAGAGTATATATATTTTTAATAAACTTTAAGGTGAAATAATGTCAAGTTTACACATGAGTAATTGAAGTATTTGAGTAAAAAGGCAAAATTTAAATTTTGAATGCTCTGTGTGTGTGTGTGTGTATACTCAAACAGGCCAGAAGAGGGCATCAGATTCCTTGGAGCTGGAGTTACAGGCACTTATGAGCCACTCAGATTGGGTGCTGAGAACTGAATTAAAAATTAATGTGAAGTATTTAGGGGAATAAAAGATATTCTGAGGGGTGAAAAAAAATCTCTCCCATGGAGATTCTTCACATACGGTTTAACATAGGGATTCACAAGGTTATTTGTCCACTTAACAGAATTTCAAATAATAAAAGCCCATCCCCTTGGGTAAGAATTTGCTTTTTCCCCATTGTTGTTTACATGTACTTGAGTGCATGTACCCGCCTTGTTTCTTCCCAAGTCCTTAAAAGAGCAACCTAACTTTGTGCCCGTTTCACTTTTTCCTGAAGCCCCCAAACTTCTATGATAAATGTTTATGAGATTAAATGTTGCTTCTTTCTTCACACTTAATTTCTCCCAGAGCCGTAAATATTTCTTATTGGGAACTAAGAGACAGGGAATACTGGACTTTCTTAAATTTTTTTTTTTACTTTTGCTTTGTGGAAATAGCAAGACAGAAGTAAAAGGAAAACTAAGTACCAATATTACTGTTGAAAATTAGTGTAAAATTAATTTTTAAGTATTAATTTAAAAAATGTTATTTAAAAGAAAGATTGTTTTTAGAAATCTATCTGAAAGTTACTAATGCTCTTAGCTAGCTGAAGGCTGAGTATGCTGATAATCCCAAGGAAAGACTAGTGCATCTAGAACCAGAGTCCAAGCATCCAGCTTGAGAGTTGGCTTTGCATATCTCTTCATCTGTACGTCCTGAATGAGAAATGCTCACTTGCCAAATCACAACTCAAGAAGTCATTTTGCTGCTGTTAGTCATTTCTGATAGATTCTGAGGGTAAAGGGGAGAAACTCACTTAGTAACCTTATGGAAGATGCTTTAAGTAACACGTTTAAACCCTGGAAGAGCAGTTGCTTCTGAGCTTCTCAGGCCCTTTGACACTGCTACTGATTCTCCTTTCTTGCTGGAAGGTGGCTTCAGCTTCCCTGGCTTATGGAGGTGCCACAGCCAATTGTAAAGCACTTTGAAGAGCACTGTGTGACAGTGCCTAGTGTCACACCCAGGGGCCTCCCTTCATTCCCTTCCCTGTGATGACTTTTGTTTGGAACTGTAATGAGTTATAAACTGCATGATTTAGATAATCATACTGAATCATCTGTTCTCTGAACAAAAATCGTGCCCCCTTGATTTTTTTAAAAAAAAAATTGTTGCATCTTTGTAGTAATGTAATTGTATTTTATGCTTGCTTTTTATTAAAAAATAAATAAATAAAAGAAATTAAGATGTAAGCATTTCATACTTTTCCTGTGAATAGTTCTGGAGTACTGCAAGCTTCTGCACCTGTCTTCTCTAAAGGAGAAAAGACTGGATGGGTGTCATCTCAGTAAAACCAATTTGTGATTCTTCCTAGCTCACGGAGACACGAAGAGAATTGCACCTGGGAGTCTACCATTGATTCAATTTAAGATGTAGACTTAAACATCTTGGTACAGTTGGAGAGGGTGAGGAAGAAAGTGGATATCTTTTTTGTCTGTAAACAGTGGGTTGGTGGTGGTTTTCTGTAAAGTGCTGCTCAGGTGGTTTCCTTTCTAAGACACTGGCCACCCTCTGTTCTCTATTCCCTGAGTCTTAGTATTATCCTCCATAAAATGGAGATTATATCTACTCTACATGGTCTTTTTTGGCTTAAATATGATAATGCATGAGAGATAGCTGGAGTAACTAAGATGCTTATTCCCTCCAAAAGGGGAAAAGTATCCAATTATGGCATTGCACGCCAATAGGATCACAAGTTCCAGGCTAGCCTGGGCTATAAAAGGGAAAAATTAATAAACATGTTTAAAGGCATTACTTTTAGCAGTGTTAAAAGTACTGATAGACTATATCTAAAATACTTGGGGTAAAGTGATCTTTACCCCATAATTTTATTTAAACTAATAGTCTGATTATAAGTGCATCTGAGAAAAGATAACGGGTTTTGTTTTTTCTGTGACAGTGGTTGAAGTAACTGCATAATGATTTATGTTTAGATGTAGTGTTTCTCTTCCTCCTGGTCGAAGGAAGTAGTCTTAATAAGATTAACTGGTTTATTGAACTTTACATAACTGAAAATTCTTGACAGCTTAAGGTTTGGAAGAAATTCAAAAATGAAAGTTTTATTTTACATAGCAAAATAGTGACATTCGCATCAAGGAAGAGCTTTTTTTTGAGGGGGGAGGTCTTTTTTGAGACAGGGTCTCCCTGTAGCCCCAGCTGGCCCAGAACTCACAGAGATCCACCCACCTCTACCTCCCCAGTGCTGGAATGAAAGGCGTGCACTACCACACCTGGCCCAAAGAAGAGCTTTTTAAAGTTATGAGTTTTATGAGACATCAGAGGAAAGTACTGTGTGCAATAATACTTAGGATATGTTACTTTAATAAGAATAAAATCCCTAAGAATTGGGTAGGACTTAGCTCTTTACTGCATAGCTTCCAGTAGCTAAAAACCTGTATTGAATTAAAGCAGTGGCAATTGTGTAGGTATAGCCCTTTTAAAAAATGGCAGCATTGTGCTTTAATTAGAAAGTCTTTAGGGATTTCCTCACCTAATCTGAGATTGCAGCTCTGTTTAGAATTCCTTAAAGGCACATTGTGAAGCTAAAGGACTGCATTAGTATATAAACAACTTAGTTATAGCTCTGCTTACTTTGACACCTTTGCTTAGTTTGAGCAGATGTTACACTATTGTAACAAACAAGGCCAACTCAAGGTGTGAACCCTCCTGTTCTACAGTCCTACTGAGCAGAATCTCACTCCTATGGAGAGACTTGTTTCTTAAGATTCAGTGACTCATCAGAGAGAACTTAAATGACTCTAAGGGTCAAAGTGGTCTCTTAGGCAACTCTCATCTCTGCAGATGTTAAAAGTGCAGGTGTCTAGCTGGGTATGGTGGCCCAAACCTATAGTCCAACAGTCCCCAGTGCTCAAGGGAGGCTGAGGAAGGAGGATCACAGATTGAACACCAGCCTGAGCTATGTAGTAAGACACCATCTTAAAAAAATAAATGTATCAGATGTCTAAAACAAGGAGTGGGGGAGGGAAGTTGGCATTTTTAAATAAGTAGCTATTAACACCTTCCCTGCCTGCCTCCCTTAGGATCTGCTATGTGGGCCAGGCTGGCTCATTTTCCCCAGTGCTGGGATTATAGGTTTGCACTACCATATCCAACTAAGTGGCTCTTTCAAATATAGCAAATCTGACTTAAAGATTTCTGAAATGACTGACTTGACTTGTAAAGACTTTAAATGCAGCAATGGAAAGCTGTACTTTCCCTCTGGTTCAGTCATGTTGAAATGTTGAAAGGATGTATCCATCATTCAGCTTTCGTGATGGGCTTCCGATAATGAAGTACTGTAGCTGTGACCCATATGTTTAAAGCGAGCATGATCACAAAACGGGTAAGAACTGAAAAAGAAAACCTGGACATCAAAAACTTGGTACATTACAGAGGAAAAAATCCCTTCCTGTTCTAAGTAAAGGCCTAAATAAGTTTTCACCCTCAACCCCCTCAGACAAAACTAAGACCACAAGACTCAGAACATTAGTTTCCAGTATTTCTGGGGAAATTATTTTCCTGTAGTAATGTGTACTTTGGGTAGCTTGGCCTGACATCATGAATAATCACATCTCTTCACTGTATAATCTGAGGCAATGTGGGTCTGGTAAGAATGTTTATGAGATTTAAGGTACCTTTGGGGTCTTTTTGTTTTATGACAGTGTCATGTAGCCTGTGCTGATCTCCAACTTACTATGTACAAGAGGATGACTTTAAACCCCTCCCCTTCCAAAGTTCTGGGATTAAATTTTTATGCAGTGCTGGGGGTTTTTAAACCCAGAGCTTCACACATACTAGGCAAGCAACTTTACCAAAGGAGCTATAGCCCCAGCTTGAAATTTATGATGTCTTTGTAATGGCAACATGCACACAGTACACTAGCTATACTGTTTTTAAATGCTAATCTGTCACTTCAGGAGCAGTGGTCACAGATAAGAAACTGCAACTGGAAAGTTTTTGATTGTTTTACTTCTCCTGTATAGGTTCTTTGCTGTGAATTCAAGTCTCATGGAGGAGAGCCCTGTCTCCTTTCCTTTTCCCCTTTGACCAGAGTTTGTGTATGCTTTGATCAAAACTGACTCCTACTATTAGAGCTGACAAAGGTACAACCTCCCAGGAGGGACTGGCAAATGAATTTTGCCTTCTTCTGAATCATTCTTTCTCAATTATTTAAAAGTTTCAGATGTTCTAATCTTCACTAATCACTTTCCAAAGATGCTAATCACTTTCCAAAGTTCTAATCACTTTCCAAAGATGCTCTGCTGGGAGACTGAAAATCCTAAGGAATTAAATGATCTTTTGGTTAAAGTATTTTTTATCAGCTTTTTCTTGAACACACACACACACACACACACACACACACACACACACACACACACACACACACACACACACACACACGAGTCAAATGGTGCTATTCAGTCTCTGCTTGTGGATATCAGCTTTTTCTTGAACACACACACACACACACACACACACACGAGTCAAATGGTGCTATTCAGTCTCTGCTTGTGGAGGTATCTTACAGCGCTGGGCATTCTGGCCCCTGCCACCTTTACCTTCCTCCTCTTTATCCTCCCTCCTTAATCCTTGTCCCCCATCCTGAATTCAGCATTGCCAGCCCTTGAACATTCTTTGCTCCTGGCCGTACATGCTGCCAATCTGATAAATCTGTGTTCTGCTTTGAGACTGGTCTGGCTAGCCTGGCTCTTTTGCCTCAGCCTCTCAAGTAGCTGCCACTACCAGTGCATGCCAGCTGCTCTAGTCTTTGAAAACATGTTTCACAATATAATTTAACAGTTAATTGTGTGATTCCTTCACTGTCTAGTTTCCTTTTTGAAGTACAAAATCCCTGAACATGAGAATTGACTCCCTTGGATAAATCTACCCCAAGGGGTAAATAATAAAGATAGTCACTGCTGAGGTCTAAATACACATTGTTGTATCTGAATTTATAACCGAATAGAACCAAATGGACTGTTTAAGCCTTCAGGTGATTTCCAAATGACGATCCAGATCCCACAAAACGCAAACAGGAAGTCAAAAGTCTTTGCTTACTTGTCAAATCATTGGTGGTCATTAAAGTTGTTATTATTCTTGCTGTAAAAGAAAATTTGCAGCAGTAAATAACGTGCTTCTCAGATGTTTTAGTCTTTATATTTAGCTCATGTATTTCTCCTTTAGTATAACAATATATGCTAACTTCTTGAACAACATTGGTGGGACAGTGTATTTCATAATCATCTGAAAAGCAGCCATGCATACTGACCTAGTCGTATAGAAACTGCTTCCAGAGCAGAAGTGCTTTTTAACAGTAGCTCAGTACTTCCAGGGAGGGCTACCATCCCTCTTTGTGCTCACCCTCAAAAACCAACTTTGGTTCAAGAAAGGATCCAACCAATTAAAAATTATTTGCTAAGTATTGAACTCTATACCAGGTTTCACAGGTAAGAACTGTGGCTCCACAAAAGTAAGATCTTCCTAAGCATCTAACCAGAATTCTTATGTTTAGCTCCCTTATTCCTTACAACCCTTCACAGTGAACAGGACCTTGGATAACAGCTTAAGCTAATACTCAGACGCAGTCTGCACTGAGCATACCTTGTACACAGGGACACCCTTCCTTAGCAGGGTCTATCTGAATAGTGACAAGTGTTCAAAGAACAGGACCTTGGACACTCACTGACTGCTAGGGAAACTGGTATTAATGTACCCATGTCCTTGGAGAGCAGTGTTCTTACTTGCACAGGTGTAGGCAGACAGGCCCCAGGTCAATGCGCTTACAGCTCCGGAGTCCTGAGCCTTCCACAGATACTGGAGCTGAGCAAACTTACTGGCTGCGCTGATGAATGTACACAAGTTCTGTTGTGAGATAAAACATGAGCAGGTCAGGAGCCTCTCTGAAAAGCCATATGCACCAGACATCATGCTTTTTTAAATTTTTTTTTATTCTCCTGAGAGATGACAGGTGGAGATCAGAGGACAACTTGACAGTCCATTCTCTCCTATGTGGGTTCCAGGGATTGAACTCAGGTTGTTAGGCTTGGCTGCAAATACCTTTACCTGCTGAGACATGTCACTGACACAGCAGAAGAGGGAAATGAGACATAGTCAAGGCTATATTTTGAAGCTGCCAGGATTGGCAGTGGAAGGGAAAAAAGTCAAGGCCACGCTAAGCTACCATATTCTGGCCTTCACAAGTGGAAGAATGGGGTTGTAGCTAGTCGAGGCAGTAAAGCTGCAGGAAGAGCAAGGTGTAGGTGGGCTGGGAGAAAACTGTGCAGGTCACACTTTGGATGTATGAAGCTAGTGGGGCTGGTCATCTGGATGTGGCTGTGGCCTAGATGGCCAGATATATGCAGTGTGTGCTGGAGTCTGTGTCTGACAGTCAAGAAGTCAGGGAGATGAACCAGAAAGGACGGGAAAGGGTGCCGGGGAGTGAGGTATGCAGAAGCCCGATGAACCAAGAAATGGAAACCTTGATCTGTAGAGGTCCGTCTCCAGAGGCTCAGAGATGTGAGATGAGGGGTGGGAACTGACCTCTGGCTTTAGCATGAGTGACAGTCACAGGGGCCTTGACAAGGTGTTGAAGGAAAGCATCTGGTCTGCTCTGCCAGCAGGCCTTTGGAAATCCTTGTGGGTGACATAGGGCACAGGGGCCCTTGGATAAAGAAAGGGGGCTACAAAGGGAAGAATCATTAAGCATAGCAGAGTGCTCCCGGGCAGAGGAGGGGGCAAGGCCATTGTCAGGCCTAAACAGACAACACACTAGGAGCTGGGCACATATGGCCAGAAGGAAAACTGAGTCTACACAGGGATGCCTGTGAGGAAAGAGCCTCTTGAGCAGTGGGGTGCTGAACAGAGCAGAGAAGGGAGGACTGAGAGGAGGCTGGCTCAATGCAGTGGGTAGGGAAACCAGAATTGGGCTTTGTTCATCCATCTGGACAGAGCTATGTCCGATGGGTAAGTGCTACAAAAACTTGACCACAGCATATTCTGCCGGGTTTACCTTTCAAAAGAATGTGTCATCTTAGAGAACAGGAGGTAGTTCAGGACTAGGACATATGAGGACCCAGGTGTTGTCCACACATAAAGGAGACAAAGTGTAGGTGTGGGACTAGAAGATGTGGAGATGTGAATAAGCCACAGGACATTTCATGAGAGAGGTTTAGGAATGTGGAAATGTCTATTGGTCTGAACTGGTACTGGCCTTGTGAAGGAAAACCAAACAAAAACAACTATAAACATTCCCACAGCCTAGGTTTTCCAGTAATTCAGACTCCTGTTCTCTGGGACTATTCCTTTTTCTGGAATGTGTTAGCTGCAAGCACCCTACCAGGGCAGGAAAGAAACACCAAAACCTGTAGCCTTTGACCTTTGGACTCAATTCCTGATGTGTACTACTCAGCCAGATGTATGACTGTCATAAAGGCTGTTGTTAAGCACTGCCTGATGACCAGGACCACACTTGTGGTCAGAATCCTCTGCACCAAGCTCCCAAAAGAAGCTCATCAGCAGGACCGCCAGACTTAACTAATAAAAATCCAGACAACCCAGATAGAGGTAGTCAATAATAAATAACAACATAAACATCCCATGCAATGCTCTGGAAATGATTACATTAGAAGTATTTGTGAAGCTGGGGAAATTACTCAGCAGTTAGGAGCACTGGCTACTCTTGCAGAGGACCTAGCTTTGGTTCCCAGCTCCCATGGCAGCTAACAACCAGCTGTAACTCCAGTTCCAGGGGATCCAATGGCCTATTCTGGCCTCCATGGGCATTGTATAACAGGTACACTTAACATACATGCAAGCAAAGCACTCATACACATAAAGTTTTAAGAGTGTTGTTTGTATGAGAATACTTTTTAACTCTTCTAAGCCACAAGACTGAACGGTGACACAAAGTTAACCCTTTTTTTCCAAGAAAGGGTCATAGATAAGATACTGAGGGAGGGGCTGAAGAGATGGCTCAGCGTTAAGAACACTGGTTCTTGCAGAAGACCCAGGTTCGAATCCCAGCACCCACATGGCAGCTAACAACTCTCTGTAACTCCAGTTCCAGGGGATCTGACGGCCTCTTCTGTCCTCCGTGGGCATTGCATGACACGGGTGCACTTACCTACATGCAGGCAATACATACACACACACACACATAAAAATAAAAAAACATTTAAAAAGAAGATACTGAGGGAAAGGGAGTGAAGCTGGTTAAGTTTAGGTGTGGCAGGCAGTAACCTGTGACCATCAGTGAATTCTTTCTCCTTTCAGGGGCAGTGTCCACTTCTGTCATCTTAAAGGTCAGCCCATCCTGACCTCTAAGGAGGCCAGCCCATCCTAATATAAATTTCCCATGAGCCAAATTAAGAGAACATAATCCATTTCCCCAAATGAGGGGAGAAACTGGCTGGGGGGTGTAAAGTGAGATGAAGGGTATGTGACCAATATAAATTATTAATATAATGGGAAACTTTTAAATTCACAGTTCTTCATTCTACAACTGTTTAGATCAGTCATTAATACCAACCACATACTCATAAAATTAGAATCACTGACCGTCTCTCCATGCTGGTTCTTGATGCTTCCCACAAAAAGAAAAACAAATTGGCCATGCCATTTTGTAAAGCTCCTCTATTCTGGTTAAACCATGACTTTGGTTTCTAGAACTAAAGTCCACCCCCTAGTAATGGCCAATCAGGAAGGATGTTTATTGATCACCTAACATTCTTTAACCAAGTACTCACTGGTTACCACTAGCAATGCACATTTTCAGGTTAAAAAATTTTCAATCTCCTTCCACCCCTCACTCTGTCATGTGGGCCTGATGGCACCCCAGAGGCCTGGCCGTGCTGCCCTGTCTGTGGTATTGGTATCTCCTCTAATAGATCAATTACAAAAAGGACAATCCACAAAGAGATGGTGCTGCCCACCAAGCCTGATGACCTGAGTTCAATCCCTGGAATCCACATGGTAGATGGAAAGAACTGACTCCTGAAATTTCTCCTCTGATGTCTACACATGGCATGTGTCCCCACCCCCATATACAAAGTAAATGAAAAAAAAAAAGGACAATATACTCAGAGTCCCCCTTTTCTAAACCCAAACCCCCAATTTTCCAATAATGCTTTTTTTTTTGACTTTTTTGAGACAGGGTCTCCCTGTAGCCCCAGCTGTCCTGGAACTCACTATGTAGATCAGGCTGGCCTTGAACTCACAGAGATCTGCCTGCCCCTGCCTCCCAAGTGCTGGGATTAAAGGCATGCTCCACCACACCCGGCAGCCAATAATGCTTTTTAATGTTTGGCTTAACACTGCTACAAACAGCAGGTGAGACATTTGTTCTTGGGGCAAAGAAAACGCATCTCTCTGCCTTCTCTTGTTCTGCAAGAGCACCACTCACCATGGCCAGGTCAATGATCCACTTCTGCAGACTGAGGATGAACCAAGAAGACACAAATCTGACCAAATGTTAAGGGATGCAGCAGTGAGTCACTGGCAGCCCCACCCCTCTAGTCTTGTGTGGTGCAGACAAACCCAGACCACAGAGGGTGACACAGAGAAACCAAGGTAGAGGAGGGGACAGTTCTGCTGGCCTGTGTGCAGTTTGGAAACGACAAAAGGGATGCAAGTGAACACTTGCTCAGAGTTCAAAAGAACAGAAGCAGAATAGGGAAGAAAACACAGACCCTGGGTCCACAGACTGTTCCCTGGGACTGGGAACATTCATAAGGCTGTAACTACTGGTTGATTTCCTGACGACCATGCATCTCTAATTCATTGTCAAGGTTAAGCATACAAGAGAAGCCCAACCTTGCAAAGGAGGGGTGTTCGGTACAAGTGGCATGCTGTGAACTTCTTACTGAATCCTTGCCCCTTTCCCACTAATTCCACTATAAAATACAATGGTTGGGGTGTTCGACACTGGGAAAGGAAGAACAGTTTTCAGTGTGCCTTGTACACAAAACTCAGTGGTGCTGGGACAAGGGAGTCCAACCAGAGCAGTTGAATGGAGCCAGGCGGGCCATGGGAAGCCATGGTCAGGGTGGGAGGAGCGGCTAGGAGGGTCATGTCACTTTTCCACCTTTCCCTCTGCCTCAGGTTGCATGTCTACACAGTGGACTTAACATCCCCTTCCCTGTCCACCTCCTCAAAGCTATCAGCACAAAGAAGAAATCCTAAAGGTAGCTGAAATGATCACATCAAGCAGGTGACAGGATTAAACAAGAGATGTCCCATGCAGGAGGCAGCAGAGTAAACATAGCAGTAGGGTCCACCACAACGCCACCTGCATCCAGCTGCTTGAAACTTATTAAAACTTTCCCTATGCAGAGTGTGGTGATGCAAGCCTGTAATCCCAGCACTTGGGATTATATGGAGGTGGGAGAATCAGAATTTCAAGGTCATCTTATAAGGAGATCAAGGTAAACACATTTAGTCACTTGAAAATGACCTCAGAAAGCTGAGGTGGCACAGCTATGCTCTCCCTCTTGATACTGAGGGGAAACTAAGCCAGTGGGCTACCAGTTCTCTGAGACAGCTTCTAGTCAAGATTCACCCAAACCCTTAGACCCTTCACTGTGAAAATGGTGTGTGGGACCTTGTCGCAGAAGAGGCAGGATTGCCACAGAGGAGAGCAGACTTCCACAGCCACTGCAAACACTTTTTAGTTTATGAGTGTATTGCCTGCATGTGTTTAAGTGCACCTGTGTCATGCATTGCCCTTAGAGGTCAGAAGAAGGTGTTGGATTTCCCTGGAACTGAAGTCACAGTTGTTAGCTGCCATGTGGGTTCTGGGAATCGAACCCGGGTCCTCTGCAAAAGCAGTCAGTGCTCTTAACCCCTGAGCCATCTCTCCAACCTCCAAAACACTTTCTAAGTGGACTGAAGTTTAAGAGAGTACTAGCAAACCCTTACAAGGAAGGTTGATAAGAAGCCTCGCCCTCATGCACAAAAGATGCCACAGATGACTATACTGCACCATGAGTCTCCAGACCAAGTAGCTACTTGAATGTGAAGGCTCAGCCTCTAAACTGTAGTTTTGCCTGGGAGGTGTGATTAAGTACTGGGAACTCATAGCCACCCTGGACAGGCACCATCCTGTGTCCATGCCTGACTGATGATGGGTACCCACCACCCTAGGCCCATAGCTACATTTTGACAGGCACCTACCAGGCACAGCCTGAATGGGATGCAGTGCCAGGCAGTCTCATGTTATTAATCCTCTGGGGGCAAGTCCAGGGGAGAAAGAAATACCTGAGATAAAGGTGGACCGTATTGCTCTTAGCAGTGCTTACTATACACCTCTCATGGCCATCAGGGACATGTCAAGTCTATGCCCCTCTTAGCCTTGGAATGCAGGAGAACCTATCACTGGTATGCCACTGGCAGCCACTGTACTAAGGTCTGGAAACACTTGCATTTCTGATTCTTTTTTGGTTTAAGCAAAAAACAAAAGTCTGGTAAAGGACCCTGCTTCATAATGCACAGTATTAGCAAATGATACCCTGTGTTGGATAGCTTTAGTTGTCAACTTGACACACCTGACTAGAGGAAGCCCCAGTTGGGGAATTGCCTCCATTGGACTGGTCTGTGGCCATGTCTGTGGGTCATTTTCTTGATTATTGAGTGATGTGCGAAGGCCCAGCCCATTGTGAGTGGTGCCACCCCTGAGCAGGTGGTCCTGTATTGTTTTAAGAAAGCAGGTTGAACATGGGAGCAAGCCAGTAAGCAGCATTCCTCCACAGCCTGTGCTCCTGCTCCTGCCTCCAAGTTCCTGCCCTGAATTTCTACCTTGTGTTCCCTGGTGAACTGTGACCCAGGACATGTAAGCTTTCCCTTTCCTCCCCAAGTTGATACTGGTCAGAGTGTTTTATCACAGCAATTGAAGGCAAACTAGAACACACCCCCAATCCCTTTTTCTTTTCAGTGCTGAGGACAGAACCCAGAGCCCCAAGCGTATCACTAAGCCCTCTCTCCATGCCCTTCCAACTCCATTTCCATCTCAAATGCAGAAAGGATACACAGTCATGTAGGGCACAGCCTGCTTCACGTTCCCATTGAAATGAAAGATGAAGAGCAGGAGGATGATGTCTGAAAGGAGAGGCTCTGTGAGAAGGAGAGGGCAGCTGGAGGGCAGGTTGGGGACTGGGAGGGGTGGTTGGTTACCTTGTATGATGAGAATGGGGTATTCCAGGTAGGTGAGCAGTGGGTTCCCATAGTAACACTGGTAGCGAAGGAAAACCAGGAACCTGGAGACAGGAGGTGCAGATATTCACAGCCCACTCTGGACCCAGCCAGACCCCAGACACAGGCACATTTATCCAACACTGGTGATATGGAGCCAAGGCTCAGGCAGGAAGACTTGGAAAAAAATGGGTACAAGGTCAAGTTAATAACTAGGGAGCATTCAGTTCCTGAGGGTGCTGGGCTGGAGTGTGATATATACAGTCACTTCTGATCCCCTAAGATGGTCACTTGCAAAGTCAAGGCCAAGACCACAAGGGATGGGGCTTCTTCAAAGCTGGACTTGACAAAGGGCTGCTGTGGCCACCCCTCAGGTGGTCATACACATCTATCACCCAGAGAGATTGTATTAGTAGACAGGGACGAAAGGGGGATAGGAGCCAGGCATGGTGGTGCACACTTGCAATCCTAGCATTTGGGAGGTTGAGGCAAGAGGATCAGGAGTTCAAGATTAGCCTTGGGTACATAGCAATTCAAGTCCAAGGTTAACCTGGGCTACATGAGACTTAAAAAAAGAACAACAAAGGGGGATTGGGAACGTGCCTGGATGAGAGACTAACAGAAGGCTCAAGGAAGCCGAGGGACACTCCCTGCCCCATGAAGAAGGGTAATGGGGGAAATGAAGAACCACCTCAATTCTGAGAAATTTAATGTGTGAGAGACTGAACACCCCAGGACCCTGTCCTTCTCTGGAGCCTTTACCTCAGACCTGAATCCACTCAGCCTTTCTGTCATTGCCCAGCTGTGTGTCCTGCCTGCTCATGTGTTTACCAGTTTCCTAACCATCAATAAAGAGGGATAATGGTGGTGCCTGCCCAGGTGACTGGGCTGTCATAGCGCAGGGACAGGACTTCAACTTTTACCACTACCTCCCCTTCAGCTTCTTTCTTTGGCCAAAAAACTCCCTCCAGCTCCACTGCCTCTAGTCCCCAGGTTTCTGTTCCCTGAAGCCCCCCAGTCCCTCTCCCCAGTCCCTTTGTCTACACAGATATTTCCTGCTTCTCTCTGAACACCCAGCACCCAGAGGGTCTTCCCAAGTCACCCCTTCATCCTCTGGTATAATTAAAATAGTTCAGGCTCTGCTCACGATCCAATTCCCTCAGATGAGGATTTTTGAGTCCCTTCTATCAGATGGAAGTCCAAGGGGACTCCTGCCCTCATGGCGACTGTCCTGTCCCTGAGCCTATAGGGTACAGGGTCTGAGAGTGCCCTTAGGGTATTCTTCGTACCCCAGGGTCTCTCTGGCTGGTCGTGGCCAGACAAGCCAGCAAGCAGGCAAGGCCCAGGAACGAGGCAAAGTTGAAGTGACACGCCCCTCCCCTCAACCCCTAATGCCCACCCTAGCACCCGGGGAGAAGGAGGAGGGGAGGAGAGAGAGAAGTGGGCGGGGCGAAGGGAAGGAGCCAGAATGCAGAAAACCAGGATCAGGTCTTGCCTACTCCCTTGTTCCTAGTCAGGGATTAAAAAACTTTCACCTTCTAAAACTGTGGTGAGGATTAAAGATGGAATGCGTGTAGGGCACCGAGAGTACCTTCAGAAAGTTCTCAGGAACTGGGAAACATTACTCTAAATTGATATGGAGGTAGGCTAAAATGGTATTGAATTTCAGAGGTTGCAAGCACATGGCTCTTTCTGGCCTTGGAGCTGGGTCTTAAAGCCGCCAAGCCCAATTACCGAAGTCGGTGTGCCGGCCCTGGCTCTGCCTTGAAGGGAGGGAGGCCTCGAGTTTACAAAGAACCTCCCTCTATCTGCACCGCGGTCGACTGCAAGGCCCTTAAATGCGAGTGGGCCACCTGATCAGCTTCCGGCTCCTTGGGAGCACTGCAGGGCCAGAGCTGGGCTTGCTAGAGTCAGCTGTGGTATGATAAGGTGATTACTGACATCGGATTTCAGACAAGCTCGCCCCTCGGTCTCCTGAGTGGATTTGCATGCTTAAAGTCAAGCAACTAGCAACTACGGTGAAAACAGGCTGAGCAGGAGATGCGGGGTGGGGCTCTGTGGGCATCCCTGAGTTTTCCGCTCTTCGACACCCGGCGGCCTCCGCTTCCCCTGATCCGGAGGCCCTCCAAACCAGAGCACGAATACCTCTCCGTACTTCGCACGCCCGCAGCCACTGTCCACCCACTGTTACTTTGGGCCTCCTTCCCCAGCCTCCTGCCGTACCCCCATCCCGCCAGCCTCTCCCAACCTGAAATGCACACACCCTGGCCCTCTGCTGCCAGCCTACCAGGGCCCCTACAGTGTAGGGTCATTCACTATCCCTCCCCGCTGCCGAGTGTCTCCAGAAAACTGCACCTCGAAGCACGGATGGGCGCGCTGCACACGGTGGACACAGGTCCAGCTCCTGGAGCAGCCGGAGGATGACAGGCAGGAAACACAGCAAGAGGGCTCTGCCTGGAACAAGATCCCGCGACTCCGGGACGTGTTTTCCACCACTTCGTTATTCTCAACCAAAGTTTCGCAACTTTACCTCTCACGCTTAGGGCTTTCACTACTTAATCAGGGCCACTGTCAACCTGGCGCAGATAAGCCATACCTGCTGCAGCCCCCCCGCCGCCCACCTTTCAAGCGCCGACTCACGTTCCCCTCTTTTCCCCGTTGAAGTCTCAAAACGTGTAACTTAAATGGAGCCCAACCCCTGGTTTACAGGTAGGGAAATAGAGGCTGGAAAAATGCGGATGGTGCGGGGCGGGGTTAGGAACCATAAAGGACTGCAGGTGCAAATGGCTTTGCCCACGGCCAACAGGTTGTCACTAAGGTGGGAGGGCTGAGTCAACCGATCTACAGGATGGACACGTGCGACCAAATCTTGCCTCTCCGGACTTGGGGTGAAGCAAGGAGCACTGGTGGGAGCTCCACGGAAGCGCCTCCCAGCCCAGAGCCGACCGAGTTAACGCCGAGCCACCGGCGGAAACTAGGGAGCGCATGGTCCCCGAGGCTCTCCCGACGCCCCCCCCCCCACCCG